AGGATACTGGGTACAGGATACTGGAACATCTTCTTGAATAAGCAATCAAATAAGTACTTATGGAACATATTCTCAAATAAACACTTCTTGGACATATCTCGAAAATTATGAATGAATTTTGATTGTCAATTGAAACATTAATCAATCTAATATTATTTAGAATGCAGAAAATAAGTTAAACTAACTTCATTTTGACGAGATTTTTTTTTTTCATGAAAAATTTGCTGAAATGAGTGAAAATTTAAAAAAAGGTGTATTTTCCAGGATAAAAATCCGTACAATCCGTACAATTTTAGGGTCAAAAAAAAATCAATCCGTACAATCCGTACATTTTGGCCACCCTGTAATATAACAAACCTATTTCTGGATCTTTTTAACTAGTGAACCTCCCAAGTGAGCTTATTAATAAAGTATCTAAACCTTTACAAACCAGGAGCTAATAAACTATCTAAACCTTTTTATTGATCTTATTAGCTATCCAAACTTATATCTTTAATTAATCAACTATCTGAACATAATTCTGGAGCTAATTAACTAAATATGTGGATACATTGGAAGTTCTCCGCCTGGTCTTGCAAGAATGAATTGGCCAGTAAACCTATCAGAGATATTAAAAAAAATATTTTAAAACTTAGATTTCTGTCAATCAACTTGAGTGTCCCAAAAAATGCCAGAGACTTATGAAATCTGATTTTCAAAGTTAAAAATTTCTTAAAACCAAAGTAAAATTTTCATGGGCCCTTAAAGCTTCCAACTGGAGTGAGTAAAGGAACTGATGAATAGCCACAAAATATGCTTCAAAATATATATATAATGAATTCTGCTATCACAAATAGTTAAAGTTGGAAATATCAGGTTGTAAAGAAATAGGAATTAGAAAATTAAAGTTTGTGGCGAATAATCAATTCATTTGGTCTTGTTAAAAAGTGTGTGCATACAATTTTACAATTTTGCTATTTAGTCCAGATCCAGTTTCTGAAACACAATAAATAATTATGGACACCACTTGTTTAAGTATTAAACCTATACCTGGAACTTATCAACTACAGAAACATAAATAAACTTATATATCCAAACCTATACCTGGAACTAAACATCAATAACTATATCCAAACCTATACCAGAAACTAAACTATCTAAACCTATACCTGGAGCTTATAAACTATATAAACCTATATCACCTAGATCGACTCTTATACCTGGAGCTTACACTCTCCGCGTCACTGTCTTCATTACATCCTTCGAACTCAAAACTCTGGACATGACTAAACAAATTGTTTTTCTTCTTAAATACAAAAATAATAATCTGCAAGTTCAAAATAATTATTAAAATGGGTATCAAGGTAAAATAAGTAAATTTTAGGATGAAATATATTAAAAAGGGGAGGAAAACTAGCCAGCTCACGAAAATTATTTTCAACTCCTTTCCCCCTGGCGGGGCATTTTTTCCATATATATAGTATTCCCCTTTTAAAGTTAATATACACTCTAAATCAATAAAAAATCATCAAGATAAACTGTGAAGTGTGAATATTAAATGTTTAACTTAAAAATATCAAAATGTTGCTTTTCAAACTTGAAATTTAATAACAGAATTTCTAAAAACATATTGACGGCGCTAGCTGTGAACACCTGAAGTCTGCTGATGATCCAGTGAATCCTGATCTTCTCTCTTCATCATCAATATCTATCTCAGTATCTGCATCTACTCCTCCACCATGAGGAACCAGTTTATTGAGAACTGAATCCCCATCTTCATCCCTCGTCTCATAGACTAAAAAAACAAGGTCAAGTCTTTAATCTAGATACCAACAAGCTTAAGAGTTCGTGCCCATGGTTTGGCATTGATGGTTACTCAATTCCGTGTTGACATTCATAGCTTATGAGTTTGTGCCTATTGGTTTGGCATTGATAGTTTACTCACTTGTGTCCGTGTGTACATTCATAGCTTATGAGTTTGTTCCCATTGGTTTGGCATTGATAGTTTACTCACTTGTGTCCGTGTTGACACAAGGTATTCAATAAACTTACATGGGTTGGGATTATTCAATAAACCTACCAGGGTTGGGACTATTGAATAAACCTACCAGGGTTGGGACTATTTAATAAACCTACCAGGGTTTTGAGTATTTAATAAACCTACCAGGGTTGTGAGTTTTTGAAAAATCCACCAGGTTTGGGAGTTTTCACAAAACCTACCAGGATTGGGACTTAATAAAAAACCTACCAGGGTTGGGAGTTTTAAATAAAACTACCAGGGTTGGGAGTTCTCAGTAAACCTACCAGGGTTGGGAGTGTTCAATGAACCAACCAGGGTTGGGAGTATTCAATAAACCTACCAGGGTTGGGAGTACTCAATAAACCTACCAGGGTTGAGAGTATTCGATATACCTACCAGGGTTGAGAGTTTTCGATGAACCAACCAGGGTTGGGAGTGTTCAATATTCCTACCAGGGTTTGGGAGTATTCAATTAAATAAATCTACCACGGTCTGGTTGGGGGTATTCAATACTTACCTGGGTTGGGATTATTCAATAAACCTACTAGGGTTGGGAGTTATCAATTCAATATATCTACCAGGGTACGGTTGAATGTATTCAATAGACTAACCAGGGTTGGGAGAATTAAATAAACCTACTAGGGTTGGGAGTTATCAATTCAATAAATCTACCAGGGTACGGTTGAGAGTATTCAATAAACTAACCAGGGTTGGGAGAATTAAATAAACCTACCAGGGTTGGGAGTATGAGAACCAGGTTTAAGATGAATATTGAAGAGAGGGCACATGTCCTCCAGGAAACAGTAAACCCAGTTCAACGCCAGGGCCTAGCAAACATTAATCTATTTTCTAGGGTAATTATTTCCTGAAAATCTTCCATCCATTCACAATATTTGTTGCTCACATTTTAAAAGGAAAAGTAAAGTATCTTCAAAAGGTAAATAGGGGCTTTCGAAAATTGAATAAAATGTAACATATCATCTGGAGTAAACAATTAAAAAACAATTTGTCAGTTTCACCAAATTCCGTGGGCCACATTCCTGAAAATTCAAATTAAGTACTTTGTGATCTAAATATTAAAAGGTTCTAAATATTAAAAGGTATCAAATAAAAATTTTACTTAAAAACTGATGTTTCATTTAAGCAGTGTGTATTAAAAGTTTTAAATTGATTTTGGACTTGCTATCAACCCTTTGAAAAACGTTGACTTAAAATATTTAGCAAAAAAGTTTATGAACGCACATGCATTTACATAATAATATACAGGAGATACACTTATTTACCTGTGCAATTTTCATTTTTCCCATTTTTTAGGCAAATTAATGTATTGTATACCTGTGAGCAAAATGTTCCATCATCTTGATGGTAGCAGCAAGATATCCCATCAGACACATACTTTTCACGGGATAATATTTTCTCCAGAGTGGGCAAACTTTTCCCTCCCAGGATGTTGTCACCCTGAAAGATTTCTCATGGTGTAAAATCAAAACTTCAAATTGTGGTTAAAAATGTAATAAATTTCACTAAAAAGGAACAAAAAATATCTAAAAAAAAACAATAACATCATTAGACAAATTACAAAAAAATAACTATTATACTTTTCTATCCATCCCTATGTTCTTCACAGTTAACCCTAGGGTTGCATCATTTTTATATTATTAACCAAAGATATTTAAAGATTTATCTAACAATTACCAAGGAAATGTCCCGGCAAACTTTGAGAAGAGTAGCAACATCTAGGACAGTAGTTGGATAGATAAGGTCTTCAGTATACTCTTGTTTACTAAATTAACATGAAGGTAAGATTTACAGATTCACAGGTTTACAGGTTTACAAGTCAATATTTTATTGTGTAAATAATGGACTTCTAAAAATATATTAGTAGAGAATTTTTCCGTCTCAGGGGAATTTATTTAGGCTAGAAAAAAAAAAAAATTTTCCTTTTGAGTATTTAGTACACCTTACCTCCTCATATGAGTCCTGTAGAGTGCATTGAGTACACCTTGAACTTGACCTCGAAGCTTATTCTCTGTATATAATATCTTTTCTCCAACCTAAAAAGGTTGTTAGCTAGATCTAAATGAGTTCAGAGGTCAAATACAGAAGTTTGTTTTATAGTAGTTCATAGATTTAGATAACCCTGCCTCTGTAATTTCCAAGTTTTACAGTAAATATAGCCCTTAAAGCTCAAAGCACAAAGACGACCCACTCAAAAATGATAAAAAAAAATAATATTGGGTGCGGCATTCACGGATTCAATACGCACGCAGCTTAATAGAGTGAGGAGGTTGAACAAACATTATTGAAATATGTTAATCTAGACACTTAGGTACATAAATCGTAATATGGAATTAGGAAATCTAAAAAGAACATTGAATGATTCGGCCGGGAGTCGGAGGAAAAGAAGGATAAACCTAACATTCTCTTACAAATTAAGGCTGTAGATACAAGCCATGGTAGTTGGGGCTTCACGGCTTCAGCTACTTCCACTCGGGCATAACAGTATCATTGCACATGTCATGCTAACTCTTTGACCCACGTACTCCTAAGGGAGGCAGAGGGTTGCCGGGAGGGGTGGTTTCCTGGTAACATTCGTTTTATTGGGATGTCATAATAGATAGATAGAAAGCTCATTCACTACATGAATCAAATACTTAGATATGCTCTGCACTGCACTTAAATAAACTGAAGATCTAAATTTTATTCAGTGACGAGTTTGAGAACAAAAATTTGCCATCATTTAAACCCCGAACCCCAATAACCTTGTTCAAGACAAAGGACTGATGATTTTATTTTGCAACTCAGATGGTCTTTTTTCCTACCTGATTCTCTAGCATAGTTTCTATCCTTCCAAGAATACTGTGGACATTAGGATTAGAAAGCTCATAGTCCAGAGGAATCTTGTGTGTTCTCTCTTAATACAAAATAATTACAATTAAAACTTTCAAGGATTTAGTTACATATTGTTTTTCCTTGATTAGGATTTTATATACAAACAATTGCAGCCATTAGTACTTCACATAACAAATTATGTAAAGGGGGCTTCCTCCTTAATCAGAGGGTAATTTTTTTTGAGGGAGGTATATGATATGTAAGCTGTTTATTTTTCTGATACTTAACCCAAGAAAATATTTACGCATGTAGCAAAATTACAATTGGCAATGCATTGGAAAATTGAAAAAAGTATGAAATGATTTTCAAATAAAAATCATTTCATACTTTACCTGAGGTCAGATTACATTGATAGGTGTATCCTTTAGGAATTGTCCCTGAGTGTGGTATATCATGGTACATCTTTTCATAAATACAAACAATAATCAATTCCAGAAATTTTATCTGATGAGTTTGAAGTTTACAAAAGCAAGTGGATTTGGTTTCCACCCCCAGGCTTAATAAACATTATCTCTTTTTAGTTATAATCAGCATTGGGTTATTTTGTTATTTGTAATACTAGGCAGGCACTTTGCGCACATATTCTATTTCAATTGTAAACACGTTCTCTTCCTGTACATTGTAAAACAAAAACAAACCAAAAAATGTCACAGTTTTCATAAAAATATTTCCTGGATTTTCAAAAATTTCAAGTAACAAATTAGGTCAGGCAAATTTTTGAAAAAAAGATCATCCATAAACCTTTCCAGGGGTCAAGTGAGGTCCCACAAAAATTTTGGACCCAATTGGTTGTGCTGATTTAACATTTATTGGATACAAACAAACAGACACCCAAACAAACAAAAAACAAACAAAAAACAGACAAGTATATGTATAGATAAAAGCTTCTTATTGGCAGTGCTATGAGATTAACCATGAGTAGTGCGGAAACTGTGAAATCTACGAATCTGTGAACTATGCAATCTCCTGCCACTTAAATTTGTTAACATGTTAACATGCAATATATATGTTACATACTTGATTGATGCATAACATTTTTGATTTTATTAATTTAATTTCAAGTTGAACCTTCAAAATGCTAAAGGGGATGGTGGAGTTGGCACATTTGATGTAGGGGGGGGGGGGGGCCTGCCTTCATTTTTGGTTCAAATCTTCCAAATTTTTGG